CAGTCCGGCCGCGGAGCGCGAGTCCGGGAAGGTCCGCCGCACGTGGCCGGGTGGCAGCGCCTCCCTCCGCCGCACTCCGCGGAGAGCGCCAGGTGAGAGAGAGCGAGCCGGCGGCGGCGGACCCGGCAGACGCGCGCTTGGCGCTCCGCGGAAGGGCCGGGAGGGCGGCGCGGGGCCAGCCCCAGCTGCTGAGCTCCACCCGGCTCTCCCGCCGCGCGGAGAAGATAATGAAGTCTGGAAGGAGCCTTCCAGTGGTCGCACTTGGTGCTGTTAGGCAGCCAGACGGCTTAGCCCCACTTTTCATCGCACTTGGTGCTGTTAGGCAGCCAGACGGCTTAGCCCCACTTTACAGGTGAAATAACTGCATCTGCGGGAGGTTGGAAGACTTGCCCGCGGCTGGACGACCCGTTGGGGTTGGCTCTGCACGGGCGCCCAGGGTCCCGGTGCTGGAGAGTAGTTCCTGGATCTGTTTTTAATGCTAATGAAACCATCACTAGAGGTTATAAGTGAGCTTCCAGGACATTCCTGGAAAACTTTCTCCGTGACTGGCGCGCTCTGTAGCTTCCAACGACCTTCCCAGCACCTCAAAACTCAAATTTGGGGCGGACAGAGTACCTGGAAGGCGTTGAGTCCGAAAACGAAAAGGTGGGATTCCCAGTCGGCAAGAGCCTCCTAAACCGGTCCCCAGCTTTCTCCTGCTTAAGTGCATGCTCCACCGCAGACCGGACCGCGTCTCCTGCGCTGCACTGCGTCCCCAGTTCCCTCGCAGTAAAATCTCAGCTCCTTAAAAGCGTCTGTTGGGCCTTCCCTAAAATGACCTCACCTTCCGAAGTCTTATGATCTCCTGCACACCCTACACACACACACACACACACAGGCACACCTGTCACACCTGACCTCTTCCTCGGGCCTTGCCTCTGGGCCGCACTCTGGAAGGCTCTTCTTTCTCCTCGAGGGCCCTACAGCTTCCCTTATTCTGACGTCATCAGCCAGAGCACTCAGAACCGTCCCCTCTAGAGTGCTGTTACCGTCCCCTGCTTTCATTTTTTCTGTTTGTCAGCCTGGTATAGTGTATTGATTTGCTCCACCCGTACCTCAGCATTAGTTCCCTGAGGCCAAAGGATGTTATCTGGTGAGAGCAGTATGTACTGCAGGGTCTGCCTACGTGCCTGACAGCACTCAATGGATGTGACAAATTGACCTTCCTTAGGACCATTTAAGTCCTCTGGACTCCGACTCCATAATTTGCCTGTCACCCAATCATTTTGCACCTGAGCACCTCCACAATGAGTTTCTTAAATGTATAGCTCTGTCTCCCTGTGATCCTGGTTTGCTTTTCTTAAAAAAAAAAAAAAATCCTGTATGCAGACTTGTAAAAGAATCATCTAGTCTAATTGTCACAACCAAATGCCTACGTTTGGGAATGATATGCTTGAAAGTAGACTTACTTGCATTATCTTAACCATTCCTCCCAAACCCTTCAATCCTGATTTTTTTTTTCCTTGAATCAAAAAAAGAAAAAAAAAAAGAAAGAAAAGAAAAGTAAAAAAGATCTGGGGATATAGTTCAGTGGCATAAGTGCCTGCCTAGCAAGCACAAGGTTCTGAATTTGATCCCTGGTGCTGCAAAAAGAAGAAGAAGAAGGAGAAGGAGAAGGAGAAGAAGATTTAGAGAAGACAAGAAGAAGAAGAAAAGAAGAAGAGAAGAAGAAGAAGAAGAAGAAGAAGAAGAAGAAGAAGAAGAAGAAGAAGAAGAAGAAGAAGAAGAAGAAGAAGAAGAACAAAAAGAAGGAAATTTAGAGAAGACAAGAAGAAGGAGGAGGAGGAGGAGGAAATTTAGAGAAGACAAGAAGAACAAGAAGGAGGAGGAGGAGGAGGAAATTTAGAGAAGACAAGAAGAAGAAGAAGAAGAAGAAGAAGAAGAAGAAGAAGAAGAAGAAGAAGAAGAAGAAGAAGAAGAAGAAGAAGAAG